ATCTATGCAGAAGTCGTCGTATATAGAAAATAATTTCTCTATTCCGTCGATATCTTCTATTTCTGTTCTCAAAATATAACAAAAGTGCGGCCACCGTAATGGTAGCGATATCCCGTTTTAATTATAATCAAAGAATATAAAGAAAAAGAAGTCACTGTAGCGGTAACGTGGATATTTGCGTTTTTGTTAACTTGACTAGGTGAAGATGAAAAAGCTAATCCACCAGCCCACAAAAACCGCAGTATTTATACCTAAATTTCCCCTATATGCAAATGTATCGAAAAGAGAACGACTGTGAATTCGGTGCATAAAGACCTTAAAGCTATGTATGTATCCCTGAATATAACCCTAACGTTTTACATTTGGTTTTTACTTGCGACCCGTACGCATATTCGTATCAAGCGTGCAGTATCGCAGGCTCGTCTTTTCCGAGTACCGCCGAATGCATCGATGTATCCAGAGCGCGAGAACGCATTATGCTAGATGTATCCAACGTTCGAAATTGCAATTATTAATTTTTGGCATTTGTCATGGTTACTTGTTTTTGTATCGTGCACTAAAATTGAGAATTTTTGTTTGCCGCCAAATTTCTGCCCTAAATACAGGGGCGTATTTGTAGGACAGCCAATCAAAGTTGTAAAACAAATAGATACCGTAAACATACTCGAGCGTGACAGATTATTGTAGGGAAGGTTAATTTGCACCTTAAAAATGATCTCCACCAAATCTTAGCCCTTAATATAGGGGCTATACAGGGTGTTTTATAAGGAATGGTCAATATTTTAACCATAGATTCGGGACCTGTAAATATTAATATTTTACTTAATAACTTTGAGTCAAATGTTATTTCTATGTTTTCAAGTATAACCCTATAATAAACACTATGAGTAGAATATTTTAAATGCAAATATCTAGATATAGGCTGAATTTATGCTATTAAAGTAAGTGTACCTTTTTAGTTCAAATTTACAGGGTGTATCATAACGACTTGAAAAAAATTCAAAAAAAGGCAGGATTAAAAAAATATGGATATTTTTCTTCATCCAGTAATGTGTAGGTGGCGCTCCCTCTATCTAGTCTTAAAATTAATAACATATTTATGATTAACTAACTAAAAAAGATAACCATGCCAAATTTCAAGTCAATATGTTAATTATTAATGAAATTATTCGAAAAAAAAAAACAAAAATTTATTTTAACATCAACACCCTGTATCTTGGTAGTAGATAATATTTTTCAAAATATTATTTAGGGGGCGCATATATTGTCAATATGCTGCGATATCGAACGCTGAGTACCACGCGAAAAGCCTGAACAATGCGTTCCCGCGCGCATATTCGTATCAAGCGTCCAGTATCGCAGGCTCACCTTTTCCGAGTTCCCTCGAATCCGTTCAGGTAGACAGCGCGCGGGAGCGCATTATTCAAGCTTTTCGCGTGGTACTCAGCGTTCGATATCGCAACATATTGACAAGATATGCGCCTCATAAGTAATATTTTTAAATTTATGTGGCATATAATCCAAAACACATTCGCCTTAAAGTTTTATTACAAGTATAAACAAAGTAATTTTAATGTTTTTTTAAGAAAATAAACAATTTGCTTATTTTAAAAACTTATTTTCTCCTAAAGCTATATTTTTCTTCACGCACAGGAGTAAGTTGTGGAGTGCTTTCGCCATCTTTTTAACTAAAGAAGAAACTTTTCGTCCACTTTGCACTTTTCTACGTCCATATGCATGAACCTTTCTTCTTGAAACTGATGTTGGTTGAACCGATATCTTTTTTCCTTTTCGACATATTTTTTTTGTCTAATTGATCCTTGTGTCTGTACGTGGTTTGAAAGCATTGTGTAACGCTGACATTATAGCATAATGCGTTCTCGCGCTCTGGATACGTCGATGCATTCGGCGGTACTCGGAAAAGACGAGCCTGCGATACTGCACGCTTAATACGAATATGCTTACCGCGCGCTGTATACCTGAACGGATTCGAGGGAACTCGGAGAAGGTGAGCCTGCGATACTGGACGCTTGATACGAATATGCGACCCGTACGCGTTCAGTTCTGTTCCCAGAAGTAATTAAGTGGCGCCTTAAAGTCGTAAAACACCGGGATGTTGTTTGCATTCGGAATTAAAATTTCAATATAATATTTAATATATAAGAATTATTTAAATTAATTATTAACCTCCGGTTGTCGGATTTCAAAACATAAGAGTACGGAACACTATTGCGATGTTTCATTTGGTCAAACTTTTTTATTTTACTTTGAAACTTTTATAATAATGACACAAATGACACAAAAAGTGAAAAATTTGTACAAATTTAAAAAAAAATTATTTGCCATTTCACAAAAAAATCTAGTTTAAAAGTTCTACATTATTTCGAAATCCATATTCAAGCATCAAATTTGATAAAAATTAAAAAAATTTCTAATACACACTTATCGTGAATATTATAGTAAATTAAAATTACAATAAATATAAACTTTTTCGTTTGAAATTTAAATTTTAAGACGATAAAAAACTTTATGTAGCTTCCATTTAAAATTAATTTTAAATAAATAACATGTAAAATATTTTTTCTTATAAATCATTATTTATAAAATCCCAATTACACATGTATTATTTATTACCATATTAGTATGTATATAGAATACGTGTGATATAGTTAGTTAAGTTACGATAAGCAATTAAAAATTTCAAATAAGCAAAACAAAAAATAAATTACTCTAGGGAAACGAGAAATTTTCGGTGAGAGACCACTCTTTCGTCTTGTCTCGTCTCGAATCGTGATTTTAAAAGAAAATGTGTTTTTCCCGTTTCGTCGAGACGAGAATCTTTCGTCCGGCAGCATCACATGTTTACAAAGAGTTTTTAAGGGTAATGCATTTCCAAAAATCCATGAAAAGATGTTAAAAATCTATTTCCCTTTCCCGTGAGTTACAGGGAGAGTATTAATATTATAGAATATTAATACATATTTTAATAAAACAATATTATAATATACGAGGGTCATCCAAAAATGTGATTTTGCCTGATATAAAGGTCATTTGTTTTTATGATTATTATTAATATTTTTAAATTTATTGCATTTTTTAATTTAATCTAATTTTTTTATAAATATAATTTATTTCGAATTAAAAATAGTGTATAACTACAAGCTATTGCCGCATCAAACCAATAGTGTAGCTTGTTATAGTGCACCTAGAAGTTCTTAGTGGTATTCTGATACTACGCCATTAAAAAAAATATTAATAAATCCGTGAAAAAATTTATTTTGTTGTTTCTTTTAGATGGATTTGTTGAAGGCGCTAATCCTTGTGTCCGAAAAGGCAGCCAATATAGCAAGGGTTTGTAGACAAGATGAGCATTTATTCCAACTTCTTGTCCAAAAAAAGAAAAGTGATGAAGCCAATCCCAGATTCGTGGAAGATTTCAAAACGTTAGCAGACGTTCTTATACAGGAAATGGTTAGACACGATATTGGGAAACAGGTAAAAATATGAACGGTTTCATGTATTTACCTAATTATTGATTGAATTGAGAAAATATACGCTATTAAATTCGTGCCAACAGCAGTACAGAACCGTTCTGAATTTGTGTGCGCATGTGTAGTATGATTTAACTATTCCAACACACATTCTGAATTATTTATAATTTATAATTCATTGTTCCAACTGAAAATAAATCAAAAATGCACCATTCTCAACAATTAGTCTAAATTTAAGACGGCATTAAGACCGTCTTTCTTTTGACATCTAGCATTTGCACTTAACTTTATTAAGCAATTTCTAACATTTCATGTTTTTTTACGTTTCGTCCTATTTGTAGTGTTTTAGAAAATTAACAATAATTCTTTGAATAAATAACTATATAATATAAACATTATATTAGGAAATTAACGGAATCTAATAAATTTTTCTGGGTTAAAAATAAAGTACTATCAACTGACAAATAAGTCTAATCACACTTCTAACAATATTTAACACATACTATTACTGTATTTATTTTTTATTAAATATTATTTGCAGAATATAAAAATTAGTTTAAAGGTATATAATTGGTTAGGTAATAAGTGATTATATACTTGATGCAGTTTATCAACTTACTCTGGGAATATATTTATAAAAGTTTAAAAACAATATAATGTACGTTCTAACAAAAACTTAAGTCAGAATTGAATAAATTGGCATGTATGCTTAGAAACATAGTCCATTACTAAGTTATAAACAGTTCGGAATTCTTTGTTGGAACAAATCTATTGACATTGATGAAATAATTTTAAACCAATTTTTCCTTTCTAAAGCTGTTTGAGTAAAAAAGAGTTTCTACAAAGGTCCTTTAAATCATTATGACCATGTCTGTGGTATGACCCTTAAAAGCTAAAAACACTGAACAATCAAGGGCTGAACGTCCAAGGATATGCCGTTGACATAGTCATCCTTATCCGAGGGGAACACCAAACCACAGTCTTCAAACTCATGCAAAGAGCACTTAGGCTAACAGAAATGTGATGCGTTAGGGAAACCTCTTAGTAAACTCTGACAAGGCACAACTCATAAACTTTACTCGGAAAACAAGATTTGAGGACTACGAAACTCCGACTCTGTTTGGAGGAAGGCTAAACAAAACGAACCAAGTAAAATATCTGGGTCTAATCCTAGATAGCAAACTTACTTGGAACCAACACTTACAAAAAGTGACCAACAAATGTAAAATGTCTTTCATTGTAGATAAACGGGCAGTTGGAAGAACATGGGGATTAAAACTAAAAATGGTCCACTGACTATATTTGGCAATAACAAGACCCATGATAACTTATGGAGCGGTTGTTTGGTGGCCAAAAGTAAACCAGAAAACAGCCCTCAATACCCTCTCAGGCTAATAAACTCACCAAAGAGGGATCAGAACTACAATTCACAGGACCCGAACCTCTATTTGGCATAAGCAGAACCTCTGTTCGGCAGACATTGAACAGGTGGATAACCACAAAACACCAAATTCACAGACAACAGATAAGAGGGCACAGAATCAATGGCTCATGCTAAGGGGACCAAACCAACGCATGGCTATTGAAGCACTTGCAAGACCTCAGATATCCACCATTGTGGGATTACTAACGGGGCATTGCTTGCTGAAACACCTTCATGTGAAGGGATTACACAATGATCCCACTACGTGTAGACTCTGCATGGAAGAGGAAGAAACCTCATACCATGTTATCTGTGAAGCTCTTACTGAGCGACATTTCATCCTTTTCGGCCTAGAAATGAAAAGAACACCCCAAGTATGTTATGTTATGTTGAGAATGGTGTGTTAATACACTGCGAAAGATCTATTGTACTTCCTTCTGTCGCTAATGCACCAAGTAAATGCTTCAATGCCTATAACGATCCTTTCAATCCTATTTTCTCAAGGAAGTGTAGGATTTAAAGTGGCTTCAAGTTGGGTAAATCTCCCTCTTCTATTTGATATCCTCCTAGATATAGTACCCTTGGATTCTGGAGTGCTACACATTGTTAGGATGTGAATGGAGGTTTAGTCCTCCTCTTCACAGAATCTGCACTCACTATCTTCTACTACTCTCAGTTTACTTAGGTGTCCTTTTAGTCGGCAATGCCCGGTAAGGATCCCTGTTACAATGCGTAGCCTGTTCTTGCTCAGGCAGATGCAGGCTTTCAATCTTTTCTGGCTATATTCACCCAGAAGTATCTTAGCCTGTCTCAGCCCCAAGAGATTATTCCAATTATCAGTTATTCTACTACCCGATTCTTTTTTTAATCTCTCCTTATATTATGTTACTGTTGATACCGCAGAACGATCCAGGTCCTACAAAGGGTGTTTGAGCCCCTTTCCTTGCAAGACTATCTGCAATCTCGTTACCCTGTACCCCGTTATGTCCTGGGACTCAAGTGAGAGTATCTCTATTTTTCTCGCCTAGCTCATTTAATTGTTCTAGGCATCTCCAGATCATTTTTGAGCTGATTACGTAAGAGCTCAGCGCTTTGATGGCTGCTTGACTATCGGACATGATGATAATCTCTTGTCTATGATAGTTTCTCTCGATGTTAAACTGGATACACCTCTCGATGGCGTGAATTTCCGTCTGGAAGATGCTTGGGTATTTTCCCAAGCTTTCGGAGTGCTTGGTTCTTAGCCCATACACTCCTATTCCAGTTCCTTTTATGGTTTTGGAACCGTCCGTGTACCACTTTTGGTTGCAAGCGCGATGTATTTTTGGCTCCATTCTTTCTTGTCGCCCAGCTCTGTGGTTTTGAAGTTTTTCACAAAACTGTACTTCTTTAGTATTTCATCCTGGAGAATGTCCCATGTATTTTTAGTCCTGAAGCAAGTAGACTTTCGTCTGATTACTCCGTTCCTGATCATTCTTAATCGTGTCCTTTTTGCCACATTCTCTATCATCAAATGTAGAGGGGTGAGGTTTAAGATCACCTCCATTGCGGCCGCAGGACAGGTTCTCATTGCACCAATAACGCAAACACATGCTAGTCTTTGTACTTTTAAGATATACTCCCTCAGTGGCTAAACTAGTTCTGTTACTTCAGGCTATAGCCCCGTAAGTGATGATTGGTCTTACTATTGCAGTATACATCCATCGCAGTATGTTTGGGTTACATCCTCATCGTTTACCTACAATGTTTCTGCATACCATTAGGGTTTTTGTGGTCTTGTTTATTACTTCCTTCTCATGTGTGTTCCAGAGAATTTTATTGTCCAGGAACACTTGGTAGGAAACTTAGGAAATATAGTACCTGAATACGAGGAAAGCAGAGGAATACAATAGACCCAAGAGGCCGCAGTGTTCTGGGCCAAACCTAATTCTATGTGCTTATAATTGACAAATATAAAGATGACCCTTAGATGGCCATTCATCTCTCTTTTTTGTTTTTTGTAAACTTTTGCAACTGCTGTGGGTAATCTGTTTAAGTACATGCCGATTTACCATTTTTTCGATAATATTAGATGATTCTACTACCCTCTAATACCCTTTCAACGTACACTTTTAAGATAAGGTTCACAAATATTTATATTTGGAAAAAAAATTGGTGATCTTTGTTAAAAATTGTCTCATATTTTATCATTTCTTTTAGTTTGAAGAATTGTCTTCCAGCATAAAAGGAGAAGAAAACAACGTATTTAAAAACAAGCTAGGAGAAAAAATATGCGTGCAAGTTAAACCTTCAGAAGCTGAAACTTCTAGTTTATTAGAAACAGTATTAAACGGGGACCAATTAGCTGCAACTCGACTGGCAGCAGAAGTTCATAGGAATTTAGACATTAGAAATGTAAAAACTGACATCCCTCAGAATGATTTTGAGGTGGATATTGAAGAGTTGGGTATTTGGATAGATCCAATAGGTAAAGTTTTAAATATATTTTAATATTAGGGATGTTATAATCATTTTCAAATTTGTATTCTTTATTTTTGTACTAGGGACATTATAGAGTGTATTGTGTTGTACACGTTAATATCCATGACTTTTTTTTAAATAAAAATAAACTAATAATAAAATTTGGACCGTAAAAATGGACCTTCCAATTGGAGGAAAAGTGCTAAATTTAAATTTTTCAGTATTTTCGTTTTCAATGAATATCTATAGAAAAATGTTTCGAGTTAGATGTATGTGGACAATGTATATATTTAGTTTATCCTATAGACATTTATAGAGGTGCTGCAATAGGTTGTACAAAATAACCGGGAAAAGCCTATAATAACTAGATAGGAAAGTCATGTGTTGGACACATCAGATTTTTTATATGACGTGGAAAATTGTATGCATTTAAAATAACATCCTTTCAATTTTTCATGTGGAATATATTATTAGATTTATTGTAGATTGTACTGGAGAGTATGTCCACGGATCTCCAGGAAAAACTAGGCACAATATTCACATTAGTGGAGTAAAATGTGTTACAGTTTTAATAGGGGCATTTAATAAAAAAACTGGTGCAGCCATCATGGGTGTAATTAATCGACCATTCCTTGATAAAGAAGACTTTCAGTAAGTAATAACCCAATACAATTTTGCAATGTCAGAAAAAAATAACCATTGTCATTTATCTCAGATGATTGTAGGTACATCTTACTCAAATAGAGAATAGCACATACGTCATTCTACGCAGATACTGTATTTGCGTTATCATGAACATTTTTTCAATTTAAACATCAATTGCACAAGGCCCCTGTAGTGCCTCAGTTGCACTACATATATGTTTTTATCTTAGAACGTCACACACATGTCACCTTTTAGACAACTTAATTCGTAGCAGTCTTTGTATGAGAAAGGTTAAAACCATTGTATTTTTTTTTGTATGTCATCGGCTTCAACTGCTAAGGTTATTTTGCCTCGTGTTCTGTGTAGGCTTTATTACTGTTTCCCAACACCACTTTAGGAACAGGACTGTTAATTTGAACCCAACAGTGAATGGTCGAGAGCGGAATCCTAGCAAGGCATTAGAATTAATTTTAAATAATTAAATTAAATGAAAAAATTCCGGCCAACGGTGGGTTTCGAACCTGGGACCCTTGGATCCATAGGCAAAGACTCTACCACTGAGCCACCCACCCCCCATTGTATTTAGATATCCTATGTAATGAAGTCATTTTTCATTACTATTTTTTTTTTATTCAATTGCCGAATTAGTATTCTTATTAATAATTTTAAATCTAACTTTCATTAGAATCCGGCATGTCAATTTAATAAAATTAATTATTCGTTACTATTATAATTTATAAATCAACTTTTTGGCTTCACTCTGTATCTATTATTTTGAAATATATAATAATCCGAAAATTCATAGTACTTTCACAATATAGCAATGGTTTTCAAAAGTCATTTTAAACCAGGGTTTTGAATTTATATTACAGAAAATTGTAGATTTGGGAATTTATTATTTTTAATATTTTTACACGATAACGAACGCCGGCAGCAAGCACCGTCCCCTTCTCGAGTACCTTTTCCCACTTAAGTTGATCATGCGTGGAACATTGGTAAATATTTTTGACCCGAGCACGAGACCATCGCGGCAGGAATTTTTAATTCCATTCCGAGCGATCGAAAGAGTCAGTCGACAAATTTAATAGCAGCACCGCGAGCTAAAACCATATTTACCGCAGTTAGTACAAAAAACCCGTTTTTATTTTTTGCCCTAGTATCGAGTTTAGATAGGAATTAAAACCGAATTAAATTAATATATTTAAACACCGTTTGAGATCACATTTTAACACGTAAATAATTTTGTAAAAATTCCGAAATTTAATAATTAAATTAACAGTCGAAGAATAGTTTCTTATTTTGATATTGACCGTGTTTATTTTTTTTATTATCGTCTTCGAACGGTGAGGACTGCTTCCGTTATAAATTGACTTTGTAAAGAGAATTATTAAATAAGTAAATTGGGAAAAGATAGGAATTAGAGTGTGCATTTTTTTTTAAATTTAGATAGACTTTTAAAAGAATAGATTTGTTAAATTCCTATTTGTGGGAAATAAGGGAATTAAATATTTTTTTTGTTGGTTTAGTTTGACTGTTCGCGATATTTTTTTTTTACTAAAGGGGAGGGTATCATTTCCTGTTTTGAATATAAAATTTCCGTTCCTTTATTTTTCCGTCCTGGCTACTTCCAAATAACTCACTGAGGGCTTAAAGTTCCGTGTGTTATTTTCGTTCCTAGCTTTCCGCAATTAACTCACTGAGGGCTTAAAGTTCCGTGTGTTAATTTTCCTTCCTGTCTATTCCCAAATAACTCACTGATGGCTTAAAGTTCCGTGTGTTATTTTCGTTCCTAGCTTTCCGCAATTAACTCACTGAGGGCTTAAAGTTCCGTGTGTTAATTTTCCTTTCTGTCTATTCCCAAATAACTCACTGAGGGCTTAAAGTTCCGTGTGTTATTTTTCTTCCTAGATATCCTTGTCCGACTTGGGGTTATAATAATAAATAACAATAAGAGGTAGTGTGGGTTTGATTCACCGTAGCTCGCTCATTATATTCAGGGGTTTTAAAAACGAAACAAAAATTTAGAAAGATTTCGAGTGGTCCTCACGAGTTACAGAAGTGCCGAAGTTTAATTTTTTTTATTCATACTAGCCTTGATTTAAATTTTGATTTACTACCGTAAATTTTGGAATTTTTAAAACTAATATCCTTGATTAAAATTTTGATTTGCTTTGCGATTTAAACAATTACCGTAAATTTAAATTGTTGAATCCGTATTATCCATGATTTACAATTAGATTATTTTTTTTTCTCGATTTAAGAGTAATTGCCGTAAATTTAGAATTCATATTATCCGAGATTTAAATTTTGACCTTAGTCTGAGATTTCCGAATACAATTTTTTTTTGTATACGCGACCCCTTTACCGTATCCAGTTTAAGCAGTCTGATTGAGAATACCTGCCAACTATATCAGCCGTTCGTTACCGTTTTGCCATTGCTTCATTTTTTTTTTTTTGTTCAGGGTTTCATAACCGAGGGTGGGCGTTGAAATATCTTATTTTTATTTTTTTTAGTGTATATAGTTAAAATCAATATATGTGTCAAAATTACCGTGACTATTACTGAGTTTACTGATCACCAATTTACTTCCCCCTTATTTTTCAGCAGTGAAAAATTCTTTGCAACCACAAGTAGTGATTAAAGCCCATTATTTGTGGCTACTAATTATTTGAGTCTAAGTAACCTTTGACCCCTGGAATTTTTCATCTCTATCTGTGCTGCCCGAGTACTTTCGACGCTGTTTCGAGAGTTTGTGGAGTAAACCATCACCAAAAATCTGGCGCTCGAGAACCGTCCGTAACCAGCGTCATTCGTAAGGAACCGTTTTCTCTGAGGCGAGAAAACCCCTTACACCTAGTAGATCAACTTTATGTACGTTTCATTGGAGGCAATTTTTAAATTCATTTGTGTAGACTGTTAAATTTAAATTAATATTGTTTATATTCTTTAAAATGATGAACATCGTAAATAAATGTTCGTCAAGCATAATTAGACTCGAATATCTATTTTTAAAACAAATATTCTGAATCTATTATTATCGTTCCATCTATTAGTAAATAGAGAAATTACGTTCGTAATTCAGTTTCGACAACCGTTCGATGGCTCGGTAGAAGACGACAAAATTATCAAAGATATGACTTGGACACCACGGAACTTACTGCCATCTATTGATACTGTCCATTATCCTCCAAGATAATTTGCATTGGTATTGTTCTACTAGTTGATCTAAGTTGATCTAAATACAATGGTTAAACTCATCTTCTAAGCAACCTCTTTTGCTAAGAATCGATTTCCATTTTACAAATATACTTTTATAAATACATCTCCAACGATAATTATTTTATATGATAAGATAAACAAATTTAAAAATCCCTCAGCCTCCACATCACGTTTATTCCTAAACTGTCTGCTTTCTAGCTGATTAATTATCGAGAGTTTTATGATATGCTGGTAGTACATACATTGAGCGATCCACAAGACATGTCTCTAAAGTAGGTGAACTCACCTTGTATATTGGAGATAAATGAGAAACCATTTTAAAATTCTCGCGGGATTGCCTTTTTATAAGAATTTTTATTTTCCTCCATAAAAAGCCGATGGAGATTGAACGTTCGCTGTATTAAAAACAAAAAAAGCAATTCACTGAACATTTTATATACGCTTAATACAATTGAGATATAATAAGTAGGAGATGCTATGATAATACCACGATGAAAGACAATTGTTATAGGTGTTCCAACTTTCCTAAAATCACATACAAAAACAAAAGAGGATATGGCACCAACACAACATAGTTCAAAAATATCCATCAGAGGTCGTTAGAAAGTGAGGTACCCGTTTGACCATTATAAGAGCTAAACAAAGTATATTTTAACATCAACATGTATCCAACTTCAAAATCTGGTCATTAGATGATTGCTCAATCATTTGAAAGGTTATTATACTAATGTCCAGGGAGCATGACATATATTATATTTACGAACAAATATAATTGTATTTTAATTATAACTAATAATTTTGCGATATTATTTATTGTTGTCAGTTTAAAGTAATGCTTTTTTCATCTTTGTTGAAGTCTAGTTATTGTTCTCTAGTTTAGTTATTGTTGATTTTAGATATGAATGATAAACCTTAATGTACTGAAGTCAAATGTTAATTTGGATATCAAAAGTAGAAATGGACCATGTAGAAATAAAATAATAAAGACGCTAGTACCTAATTGCTGTCATAGGATTTTATAAAATTTTGTAGATAAAGAAAAGAAACGAATAGAAGTATTTTCAATTTTTTAAGTGTGTATGTGTACATTTTATAAGAATTAGCAGTTCGGCTGATAATACATCATCCAGATATTATAAATGTAAATAAGAATGAAATAATTGATAATAATTTGTTCTTTTTTTACATTATTTATAATGCAAGCTCTTGGCGAATACTAATAAAATTTCCATACTTACTTAAAAATACCTACCTTTTCTTCGTTTTTCTTTAGGTAATTAAGGTTTAAAGATTCAACATTTTTGTACCTACCCTTTTCATCAATTTTCCTTGTAAAAACCACATATTATTGCAGTTAGGAGATACCTCCATGTGACTGGTAACAAAATTAGCATGTATCTTTGGAATGTGTTTATTAATTATCTAAAATGTGGCAGTTATAATTTAATATCTACTTTCTGTAAGCATAACATCAAAATGGCACTAAACACTTATTATTTCAAAACCCATTTAAACAATATTTACAATTTTGTAGGAAAGAATACATACTACTTTCCTTATTTAATTATTGTTGTCTTGTATAGTAAAAATGATTAAAAATAGTAATGTTTTACTTGGTTTTGATGAAATATATGGGTGGTTACTATTATGGGTATGTGGTAGTATTTTCCTTCTCGTTGTTTTCACTTTTCATTTCGTTTGTTATATAGAGTATAATTAGTAGACATTAATAAATTACCATTATTAAAAAAAATGGATATAGCTTTTATAAAAATAAAAATTTTTC